GAGCACCACCGTGACATGAGAGCCACAGGTAGACAGGGCTTTGCGCCTGCCCTCTGCTGAGTGATTTCTTAAGGTGAATAATATTATCACATAAGAACCAACCAGGACAACAAAAGTTACTAAGGCCACCATCCCTGAATTGGCAACCACAAGAACACCGATAATATAGGTATCATCAGTACAGGCAACTTTTAACAAAGGGAAGACGTCACAAAAGTAATGATCGATTTCATTAGGACCACAAAAGGGTAACGAGATGGCCATAAGTAATTGTGGAAAGGCATGGGCAGCCCCACCGGCCCAGGCAGCTAAGACAAGAAGATGGCACCTTGTTCTGTTCATGATGATCATGTAGTGGAGAGGTTTGCAGATGGCAACATAGCGATCAAAGGCCATGGCAGTAAGAATGAAGACCTCAATACCGCCAAAGAAGTGCACAGTAAAGACCTGTAGCATACAATTTCCATAAGAGATGGATTTTTTCTCTACTAGTAAGTCACCAATCAATTTGGGTGTGACACTTGAAGTATAGCAGATGTCCATAGAAGACAAGTGGCTAAGGAAATAGTACATTGGTTGTTGAAAAAGGGTACTGCATCGAATGGAAAGAAGTATCACAAGGTTTCCTACTAAGAGGGATATATAACAGAATAAAAATAGCACACAAAAAGACAGCTGTGTATTTGAGTCATAAGAAAATCCCAAAAGAATGAATTCTGAAATGTTTCCTTGGCTTTCCATATTTGTTTTCATTTGGTTTAAGTTGTAAACAAGTGAGGCGAACACCTGAAAATAAGGAAAACAGGAGCATGAATCAAGATTTACCAGTAGAGTAATAATTATATAAAATATACAAAAAATACCATGAAATGATGTTAGTATACATTATTGTGTGTGTGTATATATATATATATATAATTAAGGTGTTTATTGATTTAATCTTATTTTTTAAATATATTATGAAAGAATATTATACCAGGAATAACTGTTTTATGCAGTTTAATAGTAAGTTTCAATATTTTAAATGTATTTAATTATGAAAAACACTTATTAGTTACATGGTTTTTATAAGAAATAATTAATGCATTTAAAATCTATATTTGCCTTATTTTAAATGCTGGTGTACTTTATGTTTAAGATCTCCTTTCCTTCTTCAAGCTTGAACTGGACTACCTCTCCTGAAGGATCTGGGAATATTTGCTCAACAAATATCCCGAAACTCTTCAGCATAAGTATATGTATGTAGTCTTTACACATTTACACATGAACGTTAAGATGTTTAATGTGTAGTCTTGCTTGTCATGTGAGCAAATATGACCAATGTATATTTGGTTACACATAAAAGTATCCATG